TGTGGGTTCTAGTTCTCTTAATGGCATTTGCAAGAATCCACCGGGCCTGAACAAAAACAACCAATCAGAACCTAGAAAAATATACAGACACTTTGGGTTGGAAGATTGAAGGTAGTTGATTGCCAAGTCTCATTCCCAGGGTCCGAAAACATCTGTATTTGATGCACTGGGAATAAGACTCAGTCACCCATTTTTTTTTGCCTCTGATTGGTTGTTTTCGTTCAGGCCCGGTGGATTTTTGCAAATGCCATTAGGAGCACTAGAATAAGCCTTCTTAATCAGGAACCTGATTTTTTCATTAAGTATCTGTCTCACGTACTACTGTCAGGATATAGTGAAAGTTTAAGCAAATATGACAAACAATATTTTTATATGTTCTTTTTTTGTTGGATCAAAATTTTTAGAACTTTGTTGGCTATTTAAATTTCCTTTATGTCACCCTATCAGCTTGCACTTAACTGACTGACTTCCTTGTCTTCTCTTGTCTCTTTGCTCTTCCAGGGAAGTAGAGGAAGAGTTGGAGGTGGTGTGGCAGGCAGCAACTAGGGAGAACCAGCAGATGAGGGAGACACTCCTGGACTCAAAGCTCACAGCAAAACTCTTTTCCAGCAGTGCTTCTCCTGACTGGCCCTCTCAGGCTCCAGAGGAGGCCACTACTTCCACTCAGTATCAACCACACAGCTCTGGGCCTCCCCTTTTCACTTCTCATCAAAGCCCCGGGCTTCAGAGAAGGGCCATGTTTAAATCCGACACAGATTACCAAAACAACTCCTTGGACGAGAAGCATAAGCATGGGCTGGATTTCTATTGCTAAACCTCTTGGAAACATAAGATAGACAGGGTAGACACTATAGTTTAGTTACTTTCAGATAAATAAAACCTTAAACTCTCTGTAACACACTCATAAGTGAGCATTGGTACGTTCACTTAACACTTTTTTTCTGCTGTTTTATTCAGCTTAGTTTTGAGATGGCCAAACATACCTGACTTCAGTCTGGGTTGTCAGAAAGACTTCTATTTTATGTAGAAAAAATGTGTTTGTGTTAAATTAGTCTCAGGTTTTTATAGACTGTGCCAAGTATAATACATAAGAAGTATACCTAATCGTGGAGAAAGTTGTTTGATTAAGGATATTGTGTGTTATAGCCAATGTTGCCATCTGCTGGATACAAATGGTTTTTTCATTATCACATTAGCAACATTACATAGTACACAACAGGCACAACATTTAGCTACACTTGATTGGTGTGTGTGTGTGTGTGTGTGTGTATGTGTGTATAAGGTATAACTTAAAGCTGCTGTAGGTAATTTCTATAAAAACAATATTTTGTCATATTCGCTGGAGCTTTCATTAAATCCTGACAGGAGTACATCAGACAGGCTCCTCTGGCTCATTCTACCACTCCTAACGGTATTTGCAAGAATCCACTGGGCCTGAATGAAAACAACTAATCGGAGCCAAGGAAAATAGTTGATTGTTGAGTCTCATTCCCAGGGTGTCAAACACACACTTCAGGAATCTGGGAATGACACTCAAAAATCAACTATTTTACTTGGCTTTGATTGGTTGTTTTCTCGTAAATGCTATTAGGAGCACTAGGAGGAGCCAGAAGAACCAGATTTCTTCATAGATTATCTGTGTCATGTACTTCTGTCAGGATATAGTGTGTAACTTTCAGCAAATATGACAACAACAAAAAAACCTGCTGCAGCTTTAAGACATGTCATGCAAACACTTTATAAAGCTGTTTATCACAGGAACTCATTGTGGCTGTATATTCAAGAGTTACTGTTGATGGTATTTCAGGGGATGTCTTTTTTTTTAAATAATAAATGTAGAATAAAAAAAGTGTTGGAGTAAAGTAAGTGTTTATACTCAAAGAAATGCACATATATTTATACATGCATAGCTCTATTTTCATATTATTATTACCTTGCCTATCAGATTCTTTTTTTGGACATGGCTGAATTTGTTAATTAAATTTTACTTGCAATTAAATGTGCTTTTGAAATGACTATTTGGTTTGTATTCCTTAATCATGAACCTCATTTATTTTCCTTTTCACTGACTAAACTGTTTTTCCCCTAGAAATCTTTTATTGTTTGGAGTACTCCCTATCAAATACAGACATAACACTAACCGTCGACCAAGAATGCGTCACAATACATAACAGGTTTTTCTGTGACTGAGACACCATAACACATCACTTCTCTGATACAACCGCAGCCCTGCTGAATTAGACTGTAACCACAATGCAGAGTACTGTCTGAACAGAGACGTAACACAAATCCCTGCTGACGAACACAGACCAGCATGACGGAGGTGCAGTGGCTCAGACGTGTGTGATAGCTGTTAAGGGCTGAGGTGTAATGGAACGTGCAGCTTGCCAACAAATTTGAATTATTGCTTTGAGCCTCTCAGCCACAGTGTCGTCAGCAAGAAACATACACACATGTGATTCAGTAAATAATGACAATAATGTCATAACGTCATACTGACTCCTTTGTATCTGCCCTTCATACATACACAGAATATGAATGTACAAACAAGCATAAATACTCCATATTAAAATGTTTTGTAAGTTTCTGAGCCCAACAAAAGAAGTGTTACCTACCAGAGTTACTATCACATTGCAGCAAAACATCCAAGACATCGTAATTAGATATCTTGGAATTCAACAGAATCGAGAAGGTCCTGGTGTAAATCCAACATTGTTACAGCATGCTTCCTTTTAATAAAGTGTCAGCATGGGCCAGCCTGCAAGCACACTTTGTTTTTGTTTTTTTACAAAGAGCAAGCCTGTTTTACTTTACTTGCTGTTACTGGCTGGTATGAAACAAAATTCATCTATGAATCCGACAGTGTTACAAAAAAGACCATCCATGTTACAGCTGTCTTATTTAACTTGTTATAAAGCCTGTTAAAGATAAAGAGCAATGCTTCCTTTTTCAGGAACTCACACACTGTTGCACAGATTTTCGATAAAAGCCTTGCACACTATGCGATCTTATTGGCAGTGGAATAGGACCAAAAACTGCACACTGTCTGCTACTTGCACTCAATTTTTCAAAGACATTTGAGTCTTTTGCACTTCATCATGTAAAATTAAATACATTTTAAATTGAATTAATGCATGATGGTCCAATGTTAAGTTATGGATATATTCTCCATCCCCTGAAATAAAAGCTTATGGGACTTACATGAAACATCATGAAAAATACAGCAACCTAATCCTCTCCCCTTCAAACTAGATCATCTTTGAAAAGATATTTGCACTTTAAGCAGTATGTGTATTTTGTGGTATTCAGAAGACAAAGTGTTCATTTGTTGTGAATGACAACCCTTTTGTGTACCGCTTCAGCTGGCACATCGGTTGTACAAGGACTTTGAATCGCAGTATTTGTATTCCAAGTAAAACAAATAACCCCTGTTAGTATTTTGAACTCAGTGGAGATCATATGGAGGATCTAATTGCACCACAACTGCAAGACCAGTCACATCTACGGAATGCCCAGCTCCCCTTGAAAGCCTCTGCTGAAGTGGACACTTTCTTGCTGCGTTAGCCCTAAACATGACACATGGTCATGTGACTTGCTCTTGCCCAAAAAAATTTTTCACAGCCATTACGAAAGAAACTGTAAGAACAATAAAAAACAGAATTACAGAACTTGCTAAACCTGTTGTATGATCCCAATTTTATCCATTAGCTCCAATATAAACTCAATTCACTGAGAGCTGTATCAATACAGTGTTCTGTACCGACTCTACATGACATCATATTCATTTGGTTACTTCTATCCAAAACAACTTACAATACAAGCATTCAAACTCAAAAGGAACAAGAGTTAGGTCTGAAGCTGACGGGCCAGAGAAGGGCTTGAGAGAAGGACCCAGTAGAAAGAAGAGGAGTTTCAGGAGACTCAGGCAGGGGGAGAGATGAAAGAAGAGGAGGAGAGGTCAATGGGGAGAGAACCGAGGTTATGAAGGGTAGCAAGGATGGGTTGTGTCTGAACAGAGGGGAGGGGGATGGAATAAGACACCAAGTAGTGATTAGAGACATGAAAGTAAAACAGCGGCGGGTGAAAACATAGTCCAATTGGTTTGTGAGCGGGGGAAGGTGTGGATAAAGAAAGATAAAAAAAAGACTGACAAGGAAAGAGAATTTATACTTGTTCACCCGGATGCTGGAGTGCAGAGCCACTGTCTGGAAGGTGTGAGAGAGGGGACAGTTATCAGTGGAGTGGCATGTCAGTATTATTAATAGTATTATTAATAATAGTAACACTGATTTAACATTGCTCTCCAATAACATGGATTGTCTGCCAAGGTTTCTCTTTTTCCAACTGGAGTCCAACGTTCAGCAAGTGGTGATGATTCTTATGAATAAACATCAGACTTTTAACAGCCACCCTGGAGGGGTTCTTTCCTCCAACCTACAGCTGCAGCATGCATCCAGCAGGTGGAGAGCTTCTGGAGCAAACCCTACAGGTCGGCTGCGGAATAGTACAGTAGTGCAAGGCAAGTGAGTTACAGTCATTTGATCAGTTAGGAATTTTGCAGCAGTTTAATCTGGCCTACCCTTCACAATGGGTTTGCTGAGGAGAATCCCTTGGAGGATCACTGTGCAACAAATGGAATCCTTGAACTGGTTATATTTTGGTGAAAGTAGGACTGGAAGAGTAAACTGTAAATGATGTGAACTACGAACTTTCAGCACCATGCTTTCAAACCTACAGCCCCTTTTTTGCGAAGTATCATTGAACGAAACAAAACACTGATAATAGTTAAATTGTTTACTCATTATTACTGTCACTTGTATTTATTATTTACACAAGTAATTATTATTGTCCCATTCAGTTATTTATATCAGTTAATGCTTCCATGCACTCGACAACAGCCCACTAGTGCACTGTGAAGCAGCAAAACTGAAAACTCCCACGACTGTTCCCCTTGAGACGACAGAATAATACCCTGGGAAAATTGTGTTTGGATTTTTGCATAAATTAAAAATGTCTGTACAGTTTTTGTGGACTGAATCCTGAAAATGAAGCTATATTCCAAGTGAATGAAGAGTAAAAAGCTACAGTCAGTGTGTACCATCTTACCAGACCGGCAGGTAAAACAGCAGCAAAGGTAAATGAATTATAGATTCTAGTGCCATGTTGTAAGATAAATAATTCATGATGTTATAGTTCCCTGCATAAATCACACACACCTCTCTTTAGCAGCTATAACAAAATACATGAATACATTAATCAACTTATGACAGTTGTTGTTATTTTCTGGCATTAGACAAAAAGCAAATAATTTATTAATTAGGAAATTATTTAGTTTTGTTTCCTGACAATATAAATAGCTGGCCCTCCCTATAAGCCAGAACTATAATATATAATGTTTTATTTCATAGTTCTCAGCTCCAGGCAAGGAGGCCCCCCCGAAGGTAAGGAGGGCATCTGGTACAAGGCAGGCTGCAGTTAGATGCAGCTAGCATACACCCGATGACAGTAACCCTAACCCCAGAGAGCAGTTTTCACTGTTACCCACAGCTGATCTATGACCTAGCTGCCATTGCATTCCAGCTTTTTTTGCCAGCTCATTACCTGCCAGGGTCGCTGACAGGATGCTGTGAATGAGTGACCATCCTTAAGCCACTGGCTCTGGCTAAAGAGGCTTCTCAATTTAATTATTTAACTTTTATTACATACTCTGAATTAGGTTTCAACAAACTTTTGTCACAGCCCCCCAGTCTTTATCATTTACTCCAATGTAACTGACTTGGTTTAACCCTAACCCTAACCCCTTACTTTAATTGGTTTGGCAGTTTGGTCATATTGTCCTCCAAGGAGTGAGGAGGGACGTTTACCTCTGAACAGGCAAACCTTTGATCTCTATAAAAGGACTTGTGTAACACAGAGTAAAAAGCTGCTCCAGTGTCAGCTTTAGATTCAGTATCAACAAGCCGCAGTGAGTCTTCCTTATCCTCCACACAGAGGTATTATTCCATTTCGCTACTTTACAGCAAGAGTTTCACTCAGTTTTAGTTAGTTTTGATCAGTTTAGTTTGTTACTGTAGTCTTTTTAAGTGTATTTTCATTCAGTTATATTAATTTAGGTCTTGGTTATGTCACTTAATTTTAGATTTAGTACCTTGCTTAATTCAGTTTAATTTGGTTTTAGTTTATTTTAATCAGGGTTGCCTAAATGTGTTTTTATTTATATAACTTCTGAATTGTTGTTATTTTATAAGCTCAGTTATGTGATTTTGTTACGTCTAATTTAACTTACTTGAATAACAGAATAATGATAGTGATTCAATGTTACCCTTTTACAGCTGTGGATATATTTCAGCTGTTATTTGTTTGAAATATAGTGCTGAAATCTATTCTGTCTGTTGGATGTTTTAAGGGGAAAGAGGACATTTTAAACATCTGTTCCATTAATTATCATAACATATGTGGTGTCAGGACGTATGACAGAAGAGCTGTGTCATTGTCAGCCTGCGGTTCTCTGTTTGTGGTACTGCTTGTGGCTGTGTGTTTCTTTAGCTGTTGGTGCTCTGTGTTTTATATCTACCATGTATTATTGTTTCACCTAACCTCATGACACATGAACACATACAGAAAGAACTGATCAGAGTTACTCAATCCATTTTCCATGTAAGACTGTAGAGTATTGCTTTTTCAGCTTTTTGTGAATTTTACTATGCAGCAACAAAGGTCACATGGACTCATCTTTGTGAAGGTGCATTTATTTGGCTGTACAGTGAGAACTTTGAAACAGTATGGATGGAGGTGGAAGGCAGATAGGATGAGGGCTGCTGTAATTCATTGACACTGTGTTTTCATGTGAGCTATGAGGTCCTGTTGAACAGAGCTGTTGTTTTAGTTGTTACATAAACAACTGTTTTGAATGGTTTACCATGCTCTCTTAAAGTCGTTTTTTTTAGTGTTGTTTGCAAGA